GCACATTGCATCCACTGACTCCCGAAGACATGGGGCTTCTTCTTCGAGATTCACATACCATATCATGCAATGCGCCGCGGACCACTCGCGGGCACTGAAGATGCGAGATTGATAGGCGGCAAACGCCTCCGCAATACCGAACCTCTACCACTCAGAAATCATTCTAGTGACGGAGAAGATCTTTACTACCACGAAGCGCAAACTTCTTCACTCTCCTGGGGTGCTGATGAGTGGTTCTGGACTGAGCTATGTCTGGTAGACACCTACTTTGGCTCTGAGGAACATTTCAAGACTTACTTTGCTGGGTGTCAGGAAGGAGATGGACTCGACCCTCCGTGTGGTGGCAGATTTCCAATGATATCTCCGCGGTTTGACCCGAGGGAGTACTTTCTTCTCAAGCTGAAGTTTCGGACGGAACAGGCAGTCACAGAGTACAGCGCACTCGTCGAAACCTTCAACAAGAGAATGGACGAATACGTAAGATACTCGGATGTATTCCGAATGACCAATACTAAGCATCATTGAAGGCACAAAGGATCCGACGCGTTTTCGAAGACGACGACGAAAGAACAAACACTAAGACAATAAGCGACGTCATCGAAACTACACAGGTTTTCATTGACAGCATCGGCGGTATAGTGGACGCTTGGGAGACTTTCCATCGCACCGAGCTGTCGCTCTTCACCAGCTACATACCTGAAAGATCGATTTGGCCAACATATATTAGCAGTATCGTGCGAAACGTTGCAGAACTAGACCGACTGCGCAAAATACTCGTTACAAAGCGAGATCGCTTCAAGTTCAAACTCGACAGCGTAAGTTCGATACCACACGCCATGCCGAAGTACGCACACTGGTCTGATAATCCACACTACACAGCTTCACACCGTCTCTAGTCTCAGCCAAACAGAGACAGGAAACCTCCAAGCAAAGACCGCAGTCACCCAAGGCGACGACCTGAAGATGCTCACTAAGATGACTGTTGTAAGCCACCCCATACTGATCCATCGCTCTTACACAGCTTCACCAAGAGCTAATCGTGACCCTCATAGTACGTCGCCTTCCCTTTACTTTTCACAACAGCATTCTTCAGCATGGATTTCGTCACAGCGAAGTACCCGTGGGCTGCATTCTTTGGGGTATTGGTGCTGATGTCATCGGTGAACTACATGATTGCTTCACCACGGAGCTCTCAGAGAAGATGGTATGAGTGTAAGGCATGGATCAGTGCCTTCTTAGGAAACTGGACATACAATCGAATATAACACATCACCACGCAAAGTCGCAACGTGTTTATACTTTACGATTCGATTCGTTTTATATAGGTATCCACATATGCTGCGTGGTATCCTAAGGGTATCATGAGGGATCTGCCTGCCCAAATATGCACACTTGGAAAGATTTGTAGTGGAAAATAAAAGAACTCCCCTTCTTTCTTTCGAGACAGAACTCGCGCGCGCGCAGACACACACAAAAAAAAGACACAAACTCAAAACTGTCCTGGGCGCCCCAATCTGGTTCCTCGTATATATAGGAGAGGTATAGGAATGTCGTGGTCGTCATATCCCAATTCGCTCGATCGATCGCTCGCTCGCTTCACTCCTGCCGCGCATTATGCCAATAAAGAATAGTTTGGTGTGTGTGTGAGTGAGGGTTGGTGTGGAGAAGCATGTTCAGTCGAGCTCAATGTCGCCGTTGCTTTCGTGAACCGATTTTTCCGTTAAACGCCGATTGTGGAGAGAGATCCGTAACCCCGATGCTGCTAAGTTGATATGTGCGAAAGGAAAATCTGACGTCGCTATCGTCGTGCGCCGCCTACTTCGACCGAGTGTGATGTTCGTTCAAATTGGAGCTTTCGTCGCTTGTTCGCCATGTTGCCGCCTGGTGTGTCTTCGCCTCCGGTGGAGTCTGCGTAGTCGTCTCCAAAGCCCTCGCCGTAGCCTTGGAATGCGGCATCGGTGTAGCCGCGCTTCGAGCTAGATCGCTCTGGCCTTACTGCACCCCGGTTCATATGGTTGGTCGGTGTTGGTGCGGAGGATGTGAAGGGTGTGGCTCGCTGTGGTGGTATTTCCTGTAGTTTGGGTTTTACGGCATCGTCTGTGCCGAGATAGGCCTTGTATTTGGCAGCTTCTGCGTTGGGGAGTGGTCCAGGAGCTGTGCCTGCGAAGGCGTCGTCGAGAAGTCTGCTGAGGTTTGAACTCAATGCTGTGCCGTCTGCTGTCAGCCCCTGCTTCTCGGGCTCTCTGTTCTGCACATGTTGCGACTGCCAAATCTCTTCGGGCATTAGCAGCAGATCCCGGAAAACGCCGTCCATCTTAATCGCTTTTGGCTTGCCGGCGATCTGCATCTGCTTGATATGACCCTCGTAGGACTTGCGAAGCTTGTTAATCTTCTCGCCTGTTACCGGGTCATTGCGGGCTACAGTGCTGGCGAGCGGGTTGAGCCTGTAGAGGGAGATGAAATTTTGCGAGGGTTGCGGCCGTGCTATCTCTATCTTCTCGCTGCTGAGTTTGAACAATTGGCTGCCGCAAATGCCTTGGGCAGCTTTGAGTCGGCCGTCTTCGGTGTATGGCGATTCGGCTTGCCGGTTGTGGTTGGACAGCCTGTGGTGACGCAACCGCGTCATGTCATCGTCCGCGCTCTCCTCCATCGTCGCATCGCCATCGCTGTCGATATTGGCGCTCGACATGAAGCCGGCAGTGCTCGCGGGGGTCGGGAAGGGGTGCTGGTTGGATGCCGATGTTGCCGACTGGGAGAGCGAGGTGGACATGGGCAGGGAGGATTGCGGTGAGCGGTCCGACACGGCGGAGTTTGTCGTGGGGAAGCCTCCATTGGATTGCGAATTCATCGAGTAGGGTGGCGAGGTGGGCGTTCGAGGGTGAATGAGCGTCTTTGTCGTCTGGCCGCTCGCCTTGGCAGCGACGTCAAAGGGCGGGCTGGCGGGTGAGAATCTTCCTATCGAGTCCAAACGTTGCCGTTTCGCGCTGTGATCCGACATAGAGGCCGTCTTCGGGGGTGGAGCGAGAGGAGAGAGCTCGTCGGCGTGCGTGGAGCGTGCAGCGGTGGGTGAGAGGAGGGCTCGTACTGAAGCGCTTGGCGTCCTCCGCGCGGGTCGACCGCGGCAGCAAGGTGGGCGCGCTACTCGATGGTGCGCATGCGAAGAGAGCGGACGGCGGCGATGGCGATAATCGGCTGCGGGTGATGGGGCGGGGCGTGGGCGTGGCGGGATGCGCAGGAGGGTTGTGGGCGGCTGAGGGTGCGAAGATGTGAAGGAGATGATGGGGTTGACCGGCGGTTTGGGCTCAGCGCTGTCTCGACTGCTCACGTGACGTGCCGGGGCCCATGGTCCGCCATCTAAAACCGCCTTTCGTGTTAGGGCGTGTCAACCATTCATCGCCGCTGCAACAACAAGACAACCAGACAAAGCATCGCCATACCCTGTGCATCTTTGATGTATGGATGACAACAGGCCGCGCGCCGGTGCCTCTGCTGCGGCCGCCTCACCTGGTGCAGCGCCGACTGCGCGCCCCGAGGCATCGAATCCACCCGCGCCGAGCAATGCGCCCAAGATCCAGCAGCCGAAACCCCAAGCTCTGCCATCGCGATCCGGCCCCAGCGCCATCCTGGTCTCGCCGCGACAGAAAGGCAACCCGATTCTGAACAGCGTGCGCTCTGTCGCGTGGGAGTACTCTGACATTCCCGCCGACTATGTCGTCGGTGCCACAACATGTGCCCTCTTCCTGTCGCTCAAGTACCACCGTCTGCATCCCGAGTATATCTACAACCGCATCCGAGACTTGAAGGGCCAGTACAGCCTGCGCATCCTCCTTACCATGGTCGACATTGAAAACCATGAAGATCCACTGAGGGAGCTATCCAAGACGTCATTAGTCAACAACGTCACAGTCATGCTATGTTGGAGCGCACCGGAAGCCGGTCGCTATCTGGAACTTTTCAAGACGTTCGAGAACGCTGCACCGACCAGCATTCGCGCTCAGCAAGCAGGCACTTATTCAGAGAAGATGGTCGAATTCATCACCGTACCACGCAGCATCAACAAGACAGATGCAGTAGGCTTAGTCTCTAATTTTGGAAGCATCCGCACTGCAATCAACGCTGGGCCTGAGGAAATTGGCCTAATAGCAGGGTGGGGTGACAAGAAGGTTCAACGATGGTGCAACGCCGTCAGGGAGCCCTTTCGGGTCAAGAAGGCAGCGCGACGAACCGTCGGTCAAGACAGCGGTGCAGCGACCATGTCACGCGACATCTCCATGGCAGAAGGCGAAAGCCAGATGCCGCCGACAGCGGATGCTGATGATACAGCACATCGCAGGGTGGACGATGCCGGGCCTCTTGCACTGGAGCTGGAGAGATCCGCTCCTTTTGCAACTTCAGGGTCGGATGCAGACAAACGACCCGATCATCGCATCGCTGAAGATCTCATCCAGGACGATGAAGAAGCAATGCGTGAGGCAGAGTTGGGTGCAGTCCCACGAGGCAATGAGACTCAACCCACTGCTCCAAAACCAGTGAAGCGGAAGCAGGCAGAAGAGGAAAACATGAGCGAGGGCGTCATGGCTGCACTCAGCAAGTTGAGGAAACAATGAACAATGTTCTACGACACTTTCGAAAATGCGACATGTGACTTTGCCCAATTGATGGGCAACAATCAATCCCTGACGTTCACTTTTCAAAGTCCGCTGTGATCAATACAGCATCGTTTGCAATGGCTATCGCGAACAAATTCCATGTGCAGCATGCCGTCATGCGCCCTCTCATTGGTGACCCCACTCTGGTCCTCGCCCTGCAGCTGCAGCCTAGCCTGCCCACATGCACCTACTTCACTCGGTAGCAAACACATTCAGCCTTACTCCTTCAGCCCAACCACCATTCCTTTAGATACATCGATAGACCTGCTTCTCATTGTGAGCACGTCAAGTTCAGCCATACACATCGAGACTCTTTTAGCAGCCAAATACTACCAGTCACTATCGCCCAAGATGAGCCAATTTACGCAGTTGCCAGCCGAACTCCAAATCCAAATCTTCGACTACCTTCACGCTGCCGACGTCAAATCCGCGAGAGCTGTGAGTAGAACGTTCCGAAACAATGCTACGCCTGCGCTCTTCCGCAGTATCGTTGCTTGTGCAAGATACCAAGCGCTGGGCGCCTTCCAAAACGTAAGTTCAAAACGAACCCTGGAGGTACCCGCACTATCTTTCGTAATGAGGAAGTCAATGTTAGCCTCATGTATGCCTCAAGACCACAGTTTGGTATCAAGTAGATAGAGCACGGGCATATGGGCTAATGACACGAACAGGTATCACTACACTCGATATACTCAGGCTATGTAAGAGAGATCATCTTCGATGGAACACTGTACGATGGGCATCTCGCGAAAGACCATCGCAACTATTCTCGAGCCGAAGAAGTTAGCGGCAAATTCCAATCAGGATCCTTCTACGCAATGCGAACCAGGTGGAAAAGATACCAAGAGCTTCACAAGGAGCAAGAGAGCATGAAGGAGGATGGCGTCTTGTTACAATCATGCGCACGAGGCCTTGAGAACATGCAGAACATCTCGTCCATCGTTTACTCGCCATATCAACACACCATCCCTATGGAGGTCAAGACACTGCGCGATTTGCTACCAAGAGGAGCTCTTCCGGGCGCGCTCACCGACAACCGTACCACTGACTCGGATCATCCCTTCCGCCAACTTATTGGTGCCGTCTTTCTGTCGGAGTATACCGGAATTCGGCAGCTCACCATCGAAGCACCTCGCGAAGGCCATCCTCGCACTGAGCTCTCTTTGAATATGTTCAGTTTCCCAGACGCCAACGACCTGAACGCCGGCAAACATCTTTTCCGAAACTTGGTTAAGCTAGACATAAGTTTGTCTATTCTCAACATACCGAGTCAGATGATACATACTATGACTGTGGTTGACCCTCCTGAACGACAGCTCGAGAACCTGGCCAAACTCCTCGAGGCTGCTCAAGAGCTGAGGCACCTTTCCTTTGGCATACTGAACTGGAGGTATCTTGACGAGCTGATGTGGGGTGGGGGCAACATTCCAGAAGGACGCTCTATCATAGACTTGATCGGTCTTGGAGCAACATGGCCGAAGCTCCGCTCCATGGAGCTCAAAGGCCTATACGCTAGGGAGCGCCATCTGTGTGAACTAATCAACCGACACAAGGACACACTCAGAACCCTTACCTTCGCAACAACCACTCTAAGCGCAGGTCTGTGGATCGAAGTCGTGAACGAGGTTATTTTCAACGCGTCTATGATCACAACATTCGTGTTGGACCGGGTCGATGAAACCCACAGCGGATGGAATCTAACCAGCGCCAACGGGGCTTTAGAAGGATATGAAGGCCGGCTGATAGTGACCGAGGGTGGAGAACGCGAATTTGTACGCAGCAGTCCTTGATTTTGATTTGTCTTGCTACTAATGATAATGTATAGGTCAGCACCAATCCAGATGCACCCTCGGTTCACGACGCCCGCAACAACGCAGCAAACCCAGCCTGATCCACTAGTACATTATATTTTTGCGCACACCAATGACTTGGTATTGGCGATTGCTCAGACATTCCTCCGTCTTTGGTAGCATGAATCAGGTATTAGCTAATAGTCATACATTGTTCTGCTGACTACATACCCCCGTATCCGCATTTTGTTGCTCATTCAATGTGATTTAGGCTGCAAAGCTTGAAACTGGTTCTCGCGACGATATGAGAGCCTAGTATCAGAGAGCCGTTGCTCGGCTGCCCTGTATGCAGGACTACCAACTTGTGCTCTAGACGCCATCACGACCCGTTTCCAACTGTTTACCCATTCAGGATCTTTTTCTGAGCCTGTCTGCGACATTTCATCATCGTCTTCGTCATTCTGCCCTCTCTGGCCCTCTTCTAGAACATCGCCTTCTTGCTCCTCCGTCTTCCCCTGCGCCTCCAGGCAACTAGAACATGAGTCTTCCGTGTCCTGCTCTACCGCCCTCTCCTTCCCCTTCCAGACTTTCTCCTTCACTGTTGTTTCAGAATCTGTCTCAGAGTCTGTCTCTGTTCCGTTGATGCCCTTCCGCATCTCCGCTTCCTCGTGTATCTCCATCTCTTCCCCGTCCCCCACATCCACCTTCTCTTCCCCAACCCCCACATCCGCCTTCTCTTCCTCACCACCCTCCTCCCCCTCCCCAGCCCCGCCTCTCCCTCCCTCCTTCCTCTCACCCTCCGCATGCCCCTCCCCCAGCCCACCAATCCACTCCGCCGTCCTCACCCTCCTCAACTTCCTCAACCTCGTCCTCTCCGCATAATCGATAATCTCACCTCCATCCCAGCTATAATCTATCCTGCCAATCTCAGCCTGACTGTCTGCTACCCGTCGCTCTTGCCATTCCACCCACCCGTTACTTCCTGGTGCACAGTAACTGTGTACGTCGTCTTCGCGGTGGTGGATGCGTGCGGCGACTGGTTGCCAGGATGTGGGGTGTTGGCGGTGGGGGAGTTGGGAGATTGGGACTGGTGAGCGTGCGGTGGTAGTCGTGGTCGTGGTGGTTGTGATGGTTGGGTTTGGGGCCTGAGTTGGTGGTGCAGGGGCGGCGGCAGAGGTAGTTTGCTCAGTTTGAGGCTGGGCTGTGGATTGATCTGAGGTGGTTGGGTTTGGAGATGTTGTACGTGGTGGTGGATTGCTTGTGGAGGGATTTGGTGATCCAGCGAGGGGGGCTGGTGAAGATGGTATTGATGCTAGACTTTGAGAGAGGATGGATGTGTTGGCTTGTTGGAGGGAAGCTCTAGCTGCGTGGGCGGCTCTCCGTGGGCTCGACATTCTGGTTTAAGTGAAGGGTTGAAAGCCTAACGTCGTGACGTTGGGGAAGAGAAGAGAGACTTTCTGGGGAGCCATATTGAATACTGCGCAAAAGGCTATGTCAAGTCGGACCATGGTAGCAGAGAAATCTCCTAGAGAAACATGTGACGTTTAATTCATAAGGCAACCCTGGTGTTGGTGGGCTGGAAGATTTAGCATTAAACCTTGGTACGCTATCGCAGTACCATGTACTATATGACTCCCCCAGCATAAGGACCAACCGCATAATAAACAACAGTCATCAATCGTCAATTCAAGCCCTCTCGACCCTCTCAGTAGCACCCTTGGCGTCATTGTCCACAACAACACTGTGGTGCCTTGCCGGGTCCTTCTCCTCAATGGCCGCGCCTTCAACAACATGGTTCTGACCACCAAAAATGGCATCCATCTCCTCGAGACTAACCTTCTTAGTCTCAGGAACGAAGAACCAGACAAATGCGGCTAGCAGCATGTTGATGGCAGCGAACATGTAGAAAGCGTAGAAGCCCTCGTTCTTGAGGAAGACGGGGAAGAATTGCTGGACGATGGAGTTTACGACGTTTTGGGTTTGCGAGCACATTCCCACGGCTTGAGCGCGGATGTTCATGGAGAAGATCTCGGCGGTGAAGATCCATACTGTTGCGCCCCAGGATGGCTTGTCTGTGATAGTTGTTAGTGCGTGTTGGTATTGAGATGGTACTGAGAGGTTGTGACTTACAGAAGAGGGCGAACAGGAACATGAGGAACACGATCGCGATACCAACGGGTTCCGATTTTGCTCCGCTGGGCAGGGTAGGTGTCTGTGTCTCCACAGTAGCAGCGATAAGCATGCAAATGCCCATACCGATACCACCGACGATGAACAGGAATTTGCGTCCAAAGCGGTCGACAGTCCAGGTAGCGTTGAGCGTGAAGATGATGCTGAAAGTAGCGTTCAAGGCGTTGATCAGGGAGATGGTGTCGGCGCTTGTGAAGACCTTCTTGTAGATGATGGAGCTGTAAGAGTTGAGTGTGCCCTGTCCAGTGATCTGCTGGCCGCCATTGACAATCATCGCAATGTACATGCGCTTCCTGACAGACTTGTCCTTCCACAGAGCAGAGAAGCCGGAGGAGATTGCTTCGGCTTCGAATTCGATAGCCTCGCGGATAGTGGTGATCTCATCTTCGACATCCTGCTCGGTGGCACGGACGCGGCGGAGCGAGCGGCGAGCCTTTTCGTAGTTGCGGTTCTTCTGAACGTACCAACGGGGCGACTCAGGGATAAAGAAGACCTGGGAGAGGATGAGAATGGGTACCATCATCTGGAAGATAACAACCATCTTCCAGTCCCATTCGCCAAGTTTCTGGGGGTTCTTGGAGGTGCCGAAGGAGATCCAGTATGCGATGAAGGAGCCAACGGAATAGAACATCTGCCAGAATGACATGATCTTTCCACGGATCTCAGGAGGTGAGAGTTCTCCGATGTAGATAGAGCCAGCCGTTAATGCGAGACCTTGTCCAATACCGATGAGGACACGACCAGCGATGAAGACACCGATTTGTCCGCGGGGGGCGAATGTTTGCATGATGGTCGCGATGATGACGCATACAGATCCAGCAGCCATACCAACTCGACGGCCAGCGAAATCAGCGAGGGGTCCAGCCTATACACAGCAAAGTTAGTACACGTCTTGCGTGCTGATGATATACAGACGTGACGTACCATGAAGAAACCAGCTACGACAGCACCGACTGTGTATGATGTGTTGATGGCGCCGATGATGTTAGGTCCGGGGTTGTTGTAGTAGGCAATCCAATGCTTCGAGTTTTGCAACGCGTTGAAGACGGACGCATCGTAACCGTAGAGCACCATGCACGATGCTGCAACGAGCGAGATGTACCAGTTGTACACCCTAGTTTTGTCGACCATCTTGACGGTAGTCACTTAGGATTTCTCCCAAAACGAAAGTAACAATAGCGCTCGACTTGGTAGCGATTGACAAAGGCGTCCAGCTCGAATTCCGCAACGGATACAGCGAGAGATTCGTAGAGCTCTGGAGTGGAGAGCAATCAGCGGAGACTGCGATGGGCATATATACATGCCACATGAGAAGCCACCCTGTGGATTACTATCTTGCCCCATGTCAACCCCATGGGCTCGGGGAAGCGCCAGTTCCAGCACCCAGGATCCGATGCCTACGCCGCTACCAGACGCCTCTATCCAGAATATCACCACGAATCAACATGCCCAGACCGCCTCCAAAGCTTGCTCTAGTGCCAAATGCATCCACGCCTAGCACTTCGTTCTCCGTAGTCCCTGAATCTGGGGAATCTGGGGCTTGGGACGGGAGTGTCAATGGAGAGATTTTGTCCATCTGATGGACGGAGAGGCGTCGTCGAGTTTTTCCACGAATGGGCGTAATGGAGCTAAGTGTTGAGGCGCCGTTGTTTTGAGGAGAAGCGAGACCGACTCATGCCGAGATGGTGTTTAGTGCACCATCTAGCCCGTGAGTAGCTAGGTTTGCCGGCGACAATGTCGATAATGGGTAGAATTTCCTTGTGGACGCAAGCATGCCAAGTCAGAGACAAGGAAGACGCAGCGAAGCAAAGCTTTTGGCTGCCGCCTGGGCTCTCTTATTTTGTGATTAATTGAGGCTTAAAACTGCGAGAGTGGTTCTTGAGAAGCGCATGTGTGGCGCTGATGCCACAGTCGAGTCGTAGAGAGAGCGTCGGATCATTATGGACGACTTCATGTTGTGAACGGAGAGTAGGTATCACATGAATCATGCTAGAGAACATCGCTTGATAGCCAGCTGTGGAGTTCGGGTGGGTCGGCACATTGGTTGCGGGCGGTGACCATCATATCGCATCCTCCAGAGATGGGCACGCGGGGAGCCAACAAACGAACGAGCCTAAGCCAATATGCCCCTAAGATGTTCTCGGGCAACACCACGCGACGCGCATGTGTTTTCGGTGATGAACTGTTACAGGTGCATATGACATGCCGCGGTATCCCGGGTCGCTAGATGAGCCTCATCAGCGCTGAGATGAGCTCCCCAGGGCCAGCTTCCCCAGCTCTGGAACCAGCACGTGACTGATCACGTGTACCCAACCGCCACAGCTCTGTGGCTGTGCGCATCCCACTTTTTCGGGCGTCGAGACCCTTTCCCACCGCCCGCGACCGCCTAACGTTTTCGACGCCCGACCAAATCTCTCCACCCTCCCACCTACACACCGAAGACCGGATTACCAGGCCAACCGATTTTTTCAAGATGCCTTCAGGACAAGGAGGTGAGCGCCCTAACTTTTGCGCAAACTGAAGCGGGGTCAAGGCTGACAGAATACCACAGCCGGTACAAACCCCATCCACAACAAGCAGAAGAAGAAGAAGGCCGTCGAGCTCGACGAGGATGACCTTGCCTACAAGCAAAAGCTTGCTGCTGGTGCGTACCGCCCTACCCCTCGTTCTCCGACGCCTACACTGCGACCTGTCCCGAAGCGCCACCACAAGGCTCCGAAGAACAAAGACAGATGTGCTGACGATATACAGAGAAGAAGCAGCGTGAGGACCTAGCCAAGACGGTCGGCAAGGGCAAGGGACCGCTCAACACCGGCTCCCAGGGCATCAAGAAGTCCGGCAAGAAATAAGCGCCCGACATACCCACGAGCGAGCGAGCAAGCGAAGAGACACGGCAATGCGGCAACGACGACGATTTGACATGAAAGATACCACAGGCTGAGAGTCATGACTTGGCAGGGCGTTCATATACACATACCATGAATGCACAGGAATGAGCTATCAATGACCTTTGCGCATGCCAGGTGACTGTTTTCTACGTCTTCGCTACTTACAATTTAGGTCGTCGCACACTGCAGACGTAGCTTACCTCCTCCCTGCCTTCATGTTTGCCCCTTTCAAATTAAACACCGTTTCCGCGTTCCCCCACGCAACTCTGTCCCACTCCACCTGTGTCAAGAACCCGCTCTCCCTGAGTTCCTCCATCAACTCTTTCCCTCTTTCTTCAAGCGGGTAGTTGCTCGCATACAACACCCTGTCTACGGGTATCCGTTCCAGTAGCGCTCTTAGACTCGACATGTCTTGTGCGTCCGCTGTCGTGAGGTAGATGTTGTGTTGCCAGACATCTAGGAAACTTCGCTTCGGTTTATCTGCAGACGGGATAGTGGTGAGGAGCATCTCGATGCGTGGAATGAGCGAGGGTAGCGCGCCCGGATGCGCGAGGATGAGACGGAGAGCAGGGTGGCGATCGAAGACGCAGCTGAGGTAGAGGTGTAACAGCGGGAGAGGAGACGTAGTTTGCGACGAATGAATATGTGTCAGGAGAGGCGCGTATACCGAAGAAGGGAAACTGTGTTGGTAATCCGGTATCTGCGCATGTCAGTCTACATGCTTTCCCTTCCTCTTGATATCTGAAGAACGGAAAAGCAGCATACCTCCGATCCCACCGGCCACATCTCCCGCAACAGAATCGGCACTCGATACCTCTCCGCCACATCCCAAAGGTCCTCCCACTCCGCCTCTTCCAACTTGATATTCCGACTCATCCCAATACAACCGCCCACGAACTTCATCTTACCCACACACCTCGCCAGCTCTTTAGCCGCCTCCTTGCCCTCTGAAGGCAACATGCTCAGCGCAGCGACTTTCTCCCCGTTCATTATGACCGCCGAATGCATCGTGTCGTTGATCTTGCTGCAAATTGGTGGTGCGGCGGCGATGGGGATGTGGCTTATGATTTGTTTCGAGTGGCCAAGAGTACGCATGTCTTTCACGCGGCCAGGGCCTATGTTGCGTAGCTTGGTGAGGGTAGCCTGGGCGATTAGATGGAGTGACGGTTGACTCGGTGATGTTGGTGGGGATGTGAAGACCAAGGTGGGTGCGAGGTGGGATTCTAGGGACGCGATTAAGGAGGCGGCTGTTGTTGTGGTCATGGCGGCTTGAGGTCTGCTTGGTGATGGGTCGTCAGGAGGAGGAGGAGGTGGGTAGTAATAGGTGGTTGAGGCGGATACAGGACGTCCGGGCTTCAAGAGTTGGCACTGGTCAAGGTTACCAGATGCATCTTTCTTCTAGACTTCTGAGAGAGGGAGTTGCGCAGTTAGTGCTGAGTAGTTGCGATCCAAGCTGGCGAGATAAGAAGGACAGGTGCCAGTGAGTGCAAGTACAACTGTGGGCATCGGTACTGCCAACAGAGCGGTGGGGTGGGACTCTTTTGGATGGCTGACCAGCATGATCAAGTTATCTGCATTCATCATGTGTCTCAAGATTGACACACTATCGCATCAAGCACATGGTTGTTGAAGAAGTGTATGATTATTAGGTACATGTGTGCTGCGATTCGCGGCTAGTATAAAAACAGAAATCTTCTGGCAAAGACAACGTCAATGACAATTCCGTTCCACTACCAGAGATTCCAAGCACTAATTCCATCGTAACCTTCCATCACTAAAGCGCACATCGTGGCGGTGTAAGGATGACGACGATGGGGCGCGTGTGTTATGGGGCGCGTGCTTGTCGTGGCACTAGCGACCACGCTATGGATGTTGTTGTGATGACGTTTCAATATTCATCCGGGTGTCGGCTAGGCGGAGGCTGACTGACAGCTGGGCGCTCGTCAGGCGATGACTGTTCTCTTCCAACGCTTGGTCGAGAAAGTCTTGGTGGTGTCGTTATGGTCTGATAACCGTTGTTCGTAGTTATTCGTAATGGGCATGTGGAGTGTTGACGCAAGAAATGGATGCGCGTCGAAGTTCATTCATCATGAGGTTCGGCGACCCTTCTTGCTGCCCAGAGTGAAGGCACGCTTGAGCTTGCTTTCGGTGGCAGTGGGTGATGTAGGGCTTGGTGTAGAGCTACTGCCTGACCGGCGAGGGTCTGAGCTAGCGGATGACTGAGAAGAGGACCTCTTGCGGCTCTCTTCTGCGAGGATGTCGTCCAGTGAGACGTTGAGGTGGGGATGACTGATCGGGACCTCTTCGAGGTTTTCGACAAAGCGAGAGGCCATTGCGTCGATAGTAGTAGTGAAGTGTTGGAGCGGGTGAACGGTCGTTGTGTGTGTGAATGGATGTGGGGAGATGCAGATCTTTATAGCACCAGTATCGATATATAGTGCTGGGTGGCTGATATGATCTACGAGTGATGTGTCGAGCGTGGCTTATGGTATATGTTCCAGACTTCGATGTGGCAATGTCCGGATATAGTATACCAAGAGAGCAGGCAGTTGCGGATACCGGAAATAGTGTAGTAGCGAGAGTGGAAAGGGTGAAAGCTCGAAGCGATGGTAGACGATATATGCCGAAGTAATGAACAAAGCCTAGGCATGCAAGGGCGGCGGAAGGTTTTTAAACATATCTCAGGGCGTGTGTGGACGAGCAGGTGGACGGGGTCCGTGTGTCGACGGCACACGAGGCCAGGGACTTGCTACAGTGCGATCCAGGGTCTGTCCCGCCGATCGCGAAGCCTCGATGCATATAACGGCGGCGCTAAGGGCAGGGTATGACGTACCAAAACGTTCTGGACAGCGTTCTGCTGGCAGCCACACGGTCTTCGTGCGGCCATAACGGGCGCGTAACCGCGTGCGACAAGTCTCCAGTCGCACAGTCCCATGGGTGGGCGTACTGGAAATAGCAGCGCTCGCAGAACTGACATATCCGTAAGGGCTCTCCCAAGCCGCTTGGAAGCGTCAACCAGATTACGGACGTCTTCGCACGACTGCTGGCAGGATTGCGCATCCGACCCGCCGCCTCCAGCCTCTGCCCAGTCATGCGCAGCGCGACAGCGGCGACCTTGTGAGCCTTGGGTATTCTTGCTCAGCACGCGCAACCCTTTCGCCACAGCTTGCGAATATCGGCTCGCCGTGTCAAATAAACTTGCGCCTAACATGTCTGCGATCAGCACGATCCCCAGGCAGTCGCGAGGCAAGACCGAGCCTGAGCACTTTATCCGCAGCAGTTATATTGAAACTGTGTCCGCACGACGGCAGCTCGCATGCGGTGTTCTCGTCGGGTCCGCTGCGTCCATCGCGAGTATGGCCGGGCCTCTGACGTAGGACGAGAGCCATCCAATACTACAGCCACCACTTTGGCTATAGTTTCCAACCCACGGCCTTGTCTAAAGCGCCGCCCGGCTCCGCTTGCCAGCGAACGATTGCGACAACAGGACAAGCTTCAAACGAGAGGCCTCGCCTAGGTTTGCGGTGTATTCGAAATGCCATACTCGGCAGCTAGTCGACATCATCGTGCAGGGTCCTCATTCAAACTGTCCGGCGCCCGGACCCTTGTGGGTCTGTGACAACGGTAGACCCCAAACTTCTGCGCCATCCGTCATGTCAAGTGGGCAGCGGAGCCGACTTTTCGAGGTTAAGTTGCAGATATAAGCGGACACACGACGCTAGCCGCGTGTGCAATTTGCTAGTCTTGGGCACCAATTGCACTTGTCATGTATACAATGTCGTGGCCATCGAGCCATCGTGAGGCTACACTGATATCGTGGAGCATATCGCAAGTCCACGAAATTTGCGCACTCTGCTAGACTGTTTTGAAGTTTGAGTAGTGCGGCTCTGGATAAGCTGGACGGATGACGACTTCCTTTGCATCGTTCAAACTTTCGTATCGGCTCAGGCATATGGTTAAGTCATCACCATCTTCCCCGACCACGACCACCCCTTCCGCCCCTCCCACGTCCCCTATGCCCTTGGCCACGCCCACCCCCTCTATGTCCACCTCCGCCTCTTCCCCCGCCTCGATTGGACCGCTGTTGCTCCGGTCTCGGACCGCGTTGCGCTAATTGTGCCCGCTCTTCATCTGACGCATGAAACACATTTGGGATCTGCAGTAAGTTGCAAAATGACTGAGTGTGCGGGTTACTGTACTCTCGCGGGGTAGCCTGGACATGTATGCCTAGTGCGGGGTCGTATGTCGGCGCAGTTGCTGTAAAATCCTCAGGTATCATCATCTTGTCAGCTCTAACAAGGTTCTCTTCGATCCAAGCTATCTCTTTCTCCACAAGAGGTCGGTAGACCGCATCGCCTTTGTCTGCAGGGACTTGCGCATAGGGATCCCCTACAGTAAGGTGATCGGCGAAGACACGAGTAATGGCAAGCCACTCCTTGTCATACTGCAATCGCAGAGGCCGTTGCAATTCCGCAGGTGTATGTGGTTGTATTTCCAGCAATTGCAGGAAGCTCCGTTTGGGCAAGCACTTGTCTAGTGCGAGGAAGTTGGTCGTCTTGTTCGTTATATCTTCAGGAAAGGGGAGGGTCTGTACTATCTCAGCCTTCGGACGTGAGAATGATTCCGGCAAGAGGCTGCGAATGTCTTCTGGAACTTGAGTCTCGCTCTCCATATCAGCAGGTTGTATAGGCTCCTTGGGCTCTGCGACTGGTACAGGAACCACTTCGTCGTCGTCCAAATCCATGTCAAGATCAATTTCGGCATCATTCTTAGGTGCTGGTATTGGCTCCTCGTTTGATACATCCAGATCAATCTCGCCGTCGTTTACGACTCGCGGGATAGCACTATCAGCATCTGTTTGCGGTGGCGGAGCAGTCGGAACTTCTGCGTGGTCCCAGACAGCAGGAAACTTAGCATGCATATGGGCGCTGAACCAATGAGGTGGTCGCAGGCGCTCAAGGACTACCTTCGCAGCAACACTACCAAGAGTACCGTCCTTGGCCTCTTGCTCAAAGTCTGGCTTCCAGCTAAAGAGCTGCCGGTAATTGCCTTTCCACTCCATACCACGCGGCCAGTCATGGCTCAGTCCAATGTCAACCTGCGTCCGTATTTGAAGCAGTTTCCGCACGTCGAGTTCTCGAACATGGTAGATGCTCCGAACATCGTCACTGTTGTAGGGCAAGCGCTCATAGTGTGGCTTCTTGTAGTTGTAGCCTTTCCAGATACCAGATAGACCAGCAATGCGCAGTGGTCCCAGCCGTATCACATTGGCTGCGCCCATGTAGTATATCTTTGGTGCGGCCCACCCACCGTAGTAGAGCTCCCACATGTAGTTGCTCGCTTCGTGGTTGCCGCCGATGAATATAGTGAGATACGGGGCTGTGCGCAAGCCTGAGTAGTATTCGTGAAAGTCGTGCATGGCGTAGTACTTGGAGGGCATCGATACTGCCTTGAGATCGGACGCGTTTCGAACAGCCTACAAAGTCAGTCACTGGATGAGCACTATGAAGGTTTGACGTACCTGGAAGTCACCGCCAATAATTAAGAGATCCACATCTGGCCAGCCTTTCAGCTCGCAAGCTTTTCCGACAGACGCATAGATCTCGTGTAGCACTCCATGGCCGCAACCTTCGACTGCTATGCGCACGCCTTGCTGTTCTACCAGTTCTGGCGCGGCCATACTTCGACAATTGTGAACCGGTAGTTAGTGAGAGAAAGGCTCGTTAGTACTGTTGCTAGAGCTTTGTTGCGCAGTACACTAGCGCAGAAATCGCGACACGCGCAGAGTAAACATCATGACGAATGCTGCTGTCGAAGAAAGTAAGAGCACGGCCCTGCAGCACTAGCGTCGGAAGTCGGAGTTATGATAAGCTAGCGAGCACGTGTAGATACTGGACCTGCAGGAAGCTTCTCAAGATCTGCGCAGAGATCATTCAGGTCCTCTAAACACATGGCTTCAGCAACTCAAACAGAGCTGAGGGCGAAGTTCCTTCAGGAAGCCGCTCATCTCCTCGCAATTCCCTCGCCAACAACAGCAGCGTTTCTAGGTAATGCATGCAACAAGCTAATCGAAGATGCTGAAGTCGGTATTTCAAGCAAGGAGACGGATGCCCTCCGACGAAGTATTTGCGGCGCATGCGGGAATGTCATGATTCCAGGATGGTCGTGCAAAGTTTCGAACAAAGACCAGCGCAAAAGCACTGGCAGAAAGTCGTCGGTGCCCGAGAAAAGTATTCAGTATACCTGCTTGCGATGCCAACGAGAGACACTTCAGACGCTTCAGCGAAGGCCTGGCAGACAGGTCAAGAGATCACGGTCTCTGTTGGATATAGTCCCAACGTCCGCGGCTCCGACTACGACTAGGAAAGAAGAGGATGCAGCCCCAAAGACGATTAATGCAAGCAGCAAGCAAAGACAGAGGGCACGCAAAGGCGGCCTGCAAGCTATGCTTGAAAAGAAGAAGACACAAGACTCGGGCACGGGCGGACTCGATTTCATGGACTTTGCGCTGTAAGTCCCGTAGGGCTGAGTGAATGCAGCCCACCTGCATGGAAGGGCCTAGCGACCCGTGGACACCCCGCTATGCAAGCGCGGGGCTCAAAAAATTCGAGGAGTTATGTCATCAGAACTTGCGAAAGTCAATACAGTCGCAAGCAAAATTACTTTGTCCAACACCACCCTACACCAACATTAATCGATTGCAAACATGGCACAGCAACAGAGCCTTGCGAAGGATCTCTTCGAGGATATGGGCCGCAAGGTCGCCGAGGCGAGCGCCCAGGGAGACAACGACGACACAAAGGTTGTCGACGAGATCGAAAGCATGTGCATGAACTGTCACGAAGATGTAGGTGCATTTGAAAAGTAATGATAATTCAGCTGATATTTTAAAGGGTACTACGCGCCTCCTCCTCACAAGAATCCCCTTCTTCCGCGAGATCGTCCTCATGTCCTTCTCATGCCCGCATTGCCACTTCAAGAACTCCGAGGTTCAACCCGCCGGCGAGATCCAGCAACGAGGCATCAAGTTCTCTCTCAAAGTCGAAACGGCCGACGATCTGAGCCGTCAGATTATCAAGAGCGACACCGCAGTGTTCCGAATTGAGGACATCGATCTAGAGATACCACAAGGGCGCGGACAACTGACGAATGTGGAAGGCATACTCGCAATGGTAGCACAAGACCTGGAGCAGAAGCAGGAGGAGAGGAAGGCGGTGGTGCCAGAGGTGTACGAGCAGCTACAGGGAGTCATCACCACGATTAAGCAGATGGCCACCGGAGAGAAGCTGCCGTTCAAAATTACAATCGACGACCCTGCCGGCAACTCGTCAATCGAACCTCCCAGTGTACTTGGCGCAGGGAAATACTCTCGCAACGAATACCCACGAACGGCGGCGCAAAACGAAGCGCTCGGTCTGGGCGACACCAGCGGAGACGCCAGCGGTGAAGCGCCCGCCACAGAAATCCGACCAGAGTACCACGCTTCGCAAATGTATCCAGAGATGCCATCCTCTCACGCCCCAATGGTGAACAACGTGGATGAGGACGACATTGTGGAGAACCAGGTCTACTCCTTCCCTGCCAGCTGCCCGGGATGCACCAAGTCGTGCACCACAAACATGAAGATGGTCAACATTCCCCACTTCAAGCAGGTGGTCCTGATGAGCACAGTATGCGATCACTGCGGATGTAAGTTTATATCATGGAACAATCAACGTTTACCTGCTAATGCAATGCAGACCGAAGTAACGAGGTCAAAACCGGAGGCGAAGTTCCTGAGCTGGGTCGTCGTATCACAGTCACAGTTGACAGCAAGGAAGACCTGTCGCGAGATATCCTCAAGGCCGAATCATGCGCCATGTCCTGTCTCGAGCTCAACCTCAGCGT